AGCCACAGAGTTGTCCTAGTGAAATCTATTGCCTGTACTCCCAGATCAAGGCCATTCTGGCCCGTAGCCCTCATTTCTGTAGATTCGTTGCCTTCTTTGTTTGATCTCGAGCACAAGCTAGATGCTCAGTTTTGCTTTGTGATTTAGTTCAGGCTGTTATGTCACCCTGCAGTCATTTAGTCTTCCCTGTCTGAATAATAATTCAAGGCTAACTCCAGCCACAGTGATCTTTGACTTCAAAAATTGGCTGGCAAACATAATCCTTACATTAAAATCTTGATACATCATTTGATATTTTGTGGTTTGCTCTCTTGTTTCATTGGTCTTTTTCTTTTTCTTTCTTTTTTTTTTTTTAATGAAGGTCCTGGGGATTGAACCCAGGAAGGACATCAATGCATGCTAGGCAGATGCTCTACCACTGAGCTATACCCTCCCTCTGTTGATCTTTTTTAAAGATTAATCTTTTGATTTTCTTGATTTTTATTTTTCTCTTTTATTGATTCTGTTCTTTTGCTTACTTTGGGTTTAATTTGCTGTTAATTTTCTAGTTTATTAAGGTAGAAGGTTAGATGATCAACTTTGGACCCTTTTAATGGAAGCATTCAGTGCCATAAATTTCCCTCTAAGCACAGCTTTTGCTGCTTCCCTCAATTTTTGATAGGTTTTTTCATTTTCATCGAGTTTAAAATTTTCTAGTTTCCTTTGTGAGTTCTTCTTTTACCCATAGGTTACTTAGAAGTATAATGTTTAATCTTCAAATATTTGAGGGGCTTTCTAGCTGTTTTTCTGTTACTAGTTTCTAATTTAATTATGTTATGGTCAGAAAACATAATCTATATGATCTTAGTTTTTTCAGATGTATTAAAATTTGTTTTATGGTTTAGCATATAAGGTGACTATCTCATGTGTACTTGAAAAGAATCTGTACTCTGCTATTGTTGAGTTTTACAAATGTCATTTAGGTCCAGTCAGTTGATTGATTGTGTTCAAGTCTTTCTGTATCCTTACTGGTTTTCTGTTTTGTTTTGGGGTTTTTTTTGTTTGTTTGTTTTTTAATTTTTTGGTCTGTTTCTATCAGTTGCTGAGAAAGGAGTGTTGGAAATCTCCAACTGCAATTGTGGATTTATTTCAACCCTTTCAGTTTCCTCTTTTTTCTTCTCCTTTTTTTTTTTTTTTTGGTCTTCAGAGACACCATTCACTTTGTTAAAGATATCCAAGCATATAACATAAAGCTGCTTGACGTTTTTCCAGAAATTTATATATTTTTTGAGCATGGACGAATGTGTGAAGTTCTCACTGCTCTGGTATCTTTTAGATATTTAGTCAGAGTTGGGCAGAACATAATTGACTTGCAGGTGGAAAACCAACAGTCATCCAGCAGATGAACAGGCTTAGGGCAGTAGGGGGTCATCTTGTTGAGACCAGAATGCAAATGGACAAACTTTTTGTCTAAGGAGCAATATTCTCCTTAGGAGTGTGCCAGGTGGAATGCTGTATCATGTACTTGAAGAGACAGCTAGCATTAGAAATGCACTTGACAAGTGGCACACACATAGACATTTCAACAGATAGAAACAACTCTGTTGATACCTTAGAAAGGAACATGTATTGTTTATACCCTTGGCATAATTGTATGCTTTTTTTTTTTTGAGTCTTATGCTTCAAGTCCATTTTTTGCTTTGTATATTTTGAATCTCTGTTATTAGGTACATAATATATTTAGGATTTCTATATCATCTTAATGATTTGACTCCATAATCATTATGAAATGTACTTCTTTATTCCTGGTTATATTCTCTGTAATGAAGTCTACTTTGTCTGATATCAGTAGTGCCCCTCTAGCTTTGTTTTGTGTGTGCATGGATGTCTTTTTCCATCTTGATACTGTTTGGTTACTGTAGCTTTGTAGTATAGTTTAAAATCAGGAAGTGTGATACCTTCAGCCTTGTTCTTTCTCAAGATTGCTTTGGCTGTTAGGGGTCTTTTTGTGTTTCCATTACAAATATTAAAATTATTTGTTTTAGTTCTTTGAAAAATGCCTTTGGTATTTTGATAGGAATTGCATTGAATTTGTAGATGGCCTTGAGTGCGGGCATTTTAACAGTATTTTCTTTTTTTATTTTAATGTATATATTTTTATTTTAATATATTTTTGAAATATAGTCAGTTTACAATGCTGTGTCAATTTCTGGTGTACAGCACAATACTTCAGTCATATAGGAACATACATATATTTGTTTTCATATTCTTTTTAACCATAAATTACAAGATACTGAATATAGTTCCCTGTGCTATACAGTATAAACTTGTTTATCTATAATAATATTCTTTCAATCCATAAGCACGATGTATCTTTCCGTTTGTTTTGTGTCATATTTAATTTCTATCATAAAGTTCTTAAAGATTTCCAAGTACAGGTCTTTTACTTCCATGGATTGATTTATTCCTAGGTTGCTGTTTTGGTTTGGGTTGGGGTTTTGATGCAATTATAAATGGGATTGCTGTCTTAATTTCTCTTTCTGATAGTTGTTAGTGCGCAGAAGCAACAGATTCCTCTGTATTAATTTTGTATCCTGTGTTGTTACTGAATTCATTGATGAGTTCTGATAGTTTTTTGGTGGCGTCTTCAGGATTTTCTAAATATAGTAGTATCATGTCATCTGCAAACAGTGACAGCTTTACTTTTTCCTTTCCAGTTTTGATTTCTTTTATATCTTTTTCATGTCTGGTTGCTGTGGCTACGACTTTCAGTAATATTTTTGAATAAAAGTGGTGAGAGTGGGCATTCTTGTCTTGTTCCTGATCTTAGAGGAAATTCTTTCACCTTTTCACTGTGGAGCATGATGTTACCTGTGGCTTGTCATACACGTATGGTTTTTATTATGTTGAGGTATGCTTCCTCTGTACCCACTTTGTTGCACATTCTGATAACAAATGGTTGTTGAATTTTGTCGAAAGCTTTTTCTACATCTGTTGAGGTGATCATGATTTTTACAGTTCAGTTTGTTAACATGGTATATCACATGGATTGATTTGCGGATGTTGAATCATCTTTGCATTCCCTGGAATAAATTCCATTTGATAGTATATGATCCTTTTAATACATTGTTGAATTTGGTTTGCTAATAGATCATTGAGGATTTTTGCATCTGTGTTTATCAGTGATACTGGGCTGTAATTTGTGTGTGTGTGTATATGTGTGTGGTGTCTTTGCCTGGTTTTGGTGTCAGGGTCATGATGGACTCTTAAGAGTTCAGAAGTATTCCTTCCTCTTCACTTTTTTGGAATAGTTTGAAAGAGATAGGTGTTAACCCTTTTGTAAATGTTTGGTAGAATTCATCTGTAAAGCCATTTGGTCCTGGACTTTTTGTTTGTTGGGAGTTTTTTTTTAAATTACTGATTGAGTTTTATTACTGGTAATCATTCTGTTCATATTTTCTATTTCTTTCTGATTGAGTCTTGGGAGATTGTGCATTTCTAGGAATTTATCAGTTTCTTCTAGATTGTCCATTTTATTGGTGTGTAATTGTTTGTAGTACTATCTGTTGATCGTTTGTATTTCTGTGGTGTTGGTTGTAACTTCTCTTTCGTTTCTGATTTTATTTGGGCCTTCTTTTTTCCTGATGAGTCTGGCTAAATGCTCATCAATTTTGTTTATCTTTTCAAAGAACCAGCTCTAAGTTTCATTGATCTTTTCTGTTGATTTTTTTAGTCTCTATTTCGTTTATTTCTGCTCTGATCTTTATTATTTCTTCCCTTCTGCTAACGTTGGGTTTTGTTTGTTCTTCTAATTCCCTTAGGTGTAAGATTAGAGTGTTTCTTTTCTTTATAGAGTATTGATTTTTCTTGCTTCCTGAGGTAGGCTTATATCACTATAAACCTCCCTCTTAGAACTGTTTTTGCTGCGTCCCAGAGATTTTGGAGCTCACTTCATTTATTTCCCTTTTCTCAAGGGCTCATAGTCTGTGCTGCCTATTTGCCAATTTTCTTAAAATACTATTTCATATGTATTTTGTTTAGTTTTCTAGTTTATAGTGGGAAGGCAATTTCTCTGGCCCCATTAGGTTTTATTCCCTCCATTAATTTTTAATAGTTTTTCTCATCCCTTTTCCCTTTCCCATCCTGGGATTACTTACTGTATTTGATCTTAACAGTGTTTATAAGTTTACTTTTTATTGAGATGAAATTCACACTTTTGAAGTATATAATTTAACAGTTTTCAGTATATGCATAAAATTTTGCAGCCATCACCACTAATTCCAGAACATTTTCATGACCCCGAAAAGAAACCCTATTGCCAGTAACACTCACTCCCCATGTCCCTCCCTGCCCCTAGCCCCTGGCAACCATTGACCTACTTTCTGTCTATATGGATTTGTTTCTTCTGGATATTTCATATAAATGTATCATATATGTAACTCTTTTTTTGTCTGGCTTATTTTGCTTAGCATAGTGCTTTCAAGATTCATCCATGTTACAGCATATAGCAGTATTTCAGTCCTTTTCATGGCTAAATAATATTCTCTTAAATTGATGTACCACATTTTATTTGTTTATTTGTCAGTGAATGGACATTTGAGTTTTTTCTGCTTTTTGGCTATTGTGAATAATGCTATTGTGAACATTTGCGTACATATTTTTGTGTGGATACATTTTTTCATTTGTTTTAGGTATATACCTAGGAGTAGAATTGTTGGGTTATATGGTAACTCTGTGTTTAATCGTTTGAGGAACTGCCAAAATGTCTCAGTGTGGCTGCACCATATCAGAGTTCCATTTTCTCCACATGCTTGCTAACATTTGTCACTTACAGCCATTGCAATAGGTGTTAAGTAGTATCTGATGATTTTGACTTATACATACTTCCCAAATGACAGTGAGCTCAAAATCTTTCTTGAAAACTAGGGAGAATATAACTAATTGTATCAAATCATCCCTAGTCACACACCCTCTCTCTTCAGCAGCTTACCTGTAATATACTTCTTTCCCATTGTCTTCAGATTGTGAATAAGTGGAACACAGCTCTTATTGGCCTTATGACATACTTTCGAGAGGCTGTGGTGAACACCCAGGAGCTCCTGGACTTGCTGGTGAAGTGTGAGAACAAAATCCAGACACGGATCAAGATTGGCCTCAACTCCAAGATGCCGAGTCGGTTCCCCCCTGTTGTGTTCTACACCCCTAAGGAGTTGGGTGGACTTGGCATGCTCTCAATGGGACATGTGCTCATCCCCCAGTCTGACCTCAGGTAGGAGTTGGCTGAAAACCTTGCCAGACCCTGAGGGAACAGGATGTTTCTTTACTTTAGCCTTGATTTTTATCTCTGATCTTGGTTGTGCCCCCAAATAGGTGGTCCAAGCAGACAGATGTAGGTATCACACATTTCCGTTCAGGAATGAGCCATGAAGAAGACCAGCTGATTCCCAACTTGTATCGCTACATACAGCCATGGGAGAGCGAGTTCATTGATTCTCAGCGGGTCTGGGCTGAGTATGCACTCAAGAGACAAGAGGCCATTGCTCAGAACAGGTGGGCATCCAGAAGAGCATAGTGGTTCTGTTTAGGGGAGGGGGGTGAACTTTAAGCCCTGCATGGCAGTTGGGAGCAGACCATGCTTAATTTTTATGGAGTCTAAGAAGTAGGCTCCATAAAAATTGACCCTAATTATCATTGCTCAGGGAGGAATCCTGAACTCTTTCAATGAGCATGTGTTTGATCTCTTTTCTTTGGCAGACGACTAACTTTAGAAGATCTGGAAGATTCGTGGGATCGTGGCATTCCTCGAATCAATACCCTCTTCCAGAAAGACCGGCACACATTGGCTTATGATAAGGGTTGGCGTGTTCGAACTGACTTTAAGCAGTACCAGGTACATGGAGGGGATAGTGGAGAGATTTCCCCTGAATTAGGAGAATCTGTGGCCATGCTGGGAACCTGGGGTAGTTGGGCACCCAGAAGCTTGATTGTACCTGCCTCACTATCTAGGTTTTGAAGCAGAATCCTTTTTGGTGGACACACCAGCGTCATGATGGGAAGCTCTGGAACCTGAACAATTACCGTACAGACATGATCCAGGCCCTGGGTGGTGTGGAAGGCATTCTGGAACACACACTCTTCAAGGGCACTTACTTCCCTACCTGGGAGGGGCTTTTCTGGTGAGGATTCTGTTTTCCCATCACAGTGACCTCTCACACATCACAGCCCAGCAAGCTCATTCCTTTGTGTTCTACTCTGGTGTTTCCCAGACTGCCACCCTAAGAGGTTGGCAGTGCTCTGGGAGATGGCAGGACATCACTGTTTGGTCTCTTCTTTCCCAGGGAGAAGGCCAGTGGTTTTGAGGAGTCTATGAAGTGGAAGAAGCTGACCAATGCTCAGCGATCAGGATTGAACCAGATTCCCAATCGTAGATTCACCCTCTGGTGGTCTCCAACCATCAATCGCGCCAATGTGAGTGTGACTGGTAGACATGGGAGATGGGAAACTAAAAAACAAGGGTTTCTACTTCCTCAGTTATGTCCTAAGAACCAAAGTCTCTCAGTCTCTAGTGTCGCTCTCTTTTTCCTGGCAGGTTTACGTAGGCTTTCAGGTGCAGCTGGACCTGACGGTATCTTTATGCACGGCAAGATCCCCACACTAAAGATCTCTCTCATCCAGATCTTCCGAGCTCACTTGTGGCAGAAGATCCACGAGAGCATCGTTATGGACTTGTGTCAGGTGGGCTGGAACTGAGCGGGGAGGATGCACAAAAAATCAAGTCAGCTCTCTCTTTTGGGTACAGGAAATCCATCCTCAGAGCTCCAAGGATGAGACTTCTGTTGTGGTACCAGGTGCCACAGTATCTAAAGTTCTATAAGCCCTCATTCTTTTTCTTTTCTTTTATTAAAAAAAATTTTTTTTTTCCGGTGAGGGTGGTGATGGTAGAGGTAGTTAGGTTTATTTATTTTTCAGAGCAGATACTGGGGATGGAACCCAGGACCTCGTGCATGCTAAGCATACACTTTACGACTTGAGCTATACCCTCCCTTATAAGCCCTTACTCTAAATGGGTTCCATAAATTGTCATAACCTTTCCACCTTTGCCTCCAGGTGTTTGATCAGGAACTGGATGCACTGGAAATTGAGACAGTACAAAAGGAGACAATCCACCCCCGAAAGTCCTATAAGATGAACTCTTCTTGTGCAGATATCCTGCTCTTTGCCTCCTATAAGTGGAATGTCTCCCGGCCCTCATTGCTAGCAGACTCCAAGTAAGTGCCTTTTGACCCAGCCCTGGGTATCTAGGAACCTTAATTTTACTGTTCTTCTAGCAGTGCTACTTTAGGAATTGTCCCTGGCTGTCTTTCTTTCTAACTTGGAGCCAGTGCTACCCCTGGATCCTGTTGGCACCCTCAGCCAGGTCTGCTAATTCTCTGGTGGGTCTTGCTGATATGGAACAGATAGAGGAGTTGATTTTGAGATTTAGATGTAGTGATTGAAACATTTTGTGGTTCAGGGGGCATTGGTTGTGCCAGTGTCTTCCTGGAAGCCTAGACTCCTAACTCGTCTCCACCCCCAGGGATGTGATGGATAGCACCACCACTCAGAAGTATTGGATTGACATCCAGTTGCGCTGGGGAGACTATGATTCCCATGACATTGAGCGCTACGCCCGAGCCAAGTTCTTGGACTACACCACGGACAACATGAGTATCTATCCTTCACCCACGGGTGTGCTCATTGCTATTGACCTGGCCTATAACCTGCATAGGTAAGCTGGGGCTCAGAAGCACGTATTTTTCATCAGCCCCATACTGTAATATACATGTGTTTTTTTGTTTGCCCAGGCAAAATGAAGTTTGGCCCCTTCCTCCTCTGGGTCACTGACTTTTCCTTCCCTGCCTCTGTGTACATTAGACTCTTGTTGTCGGCTTGGCCAACAGTCTTCTTTTTTCTGTAGAGTTGCAGTTTGCCTTGTTCCTGGGATTGCCAACCTGGTCTTCACTTCTCTTGTCTCTTCCACCCTCACAGTGCCTATGGAAACTGGTTTCCTGGCAGCAAGCCTCTCATACAGCAGGCCATGGCCAAGATCATGAAGGCAAACCCTGCCTTGTATGTGTTACGTGAACGGATCCGTAAGGGTCTGCAGCTGTATTCATCTGAGCCTACTGAGCCTTATCTATCCTCTCAGAACTATGGTGAGCTCTTCTCCAACCAGATTATCTGGTTTGTGGATGACACTAATGTCTACAGAGTAACTATCCATAAGGTGAGAGTTGGGCTCAGTGTGGGGGTGTGGGATTCTGTATGCCTCTGGGAGGGTGATGGGGCAAGTGTGTGCATAGTGGAATGAAGGCAGGATGGTTGTGTCTAGACTGCGCTAACTGATGTAATCATTCTTTAGACCTTTGAAGGGAACTTGACCACCAAGCCCATCAATGGGGCCATCTTCATCTTCAACCCACGCACAGGGCAGCTGTTCCTCAAAATAATTCACACATCTGTGTGGGCTGGACAGAAGCGTTTGGGGCAGGTGAGCAGGTTAAAGGATAGAGAGGCTACAAAAGAATGTTTCTGCCTCTTATTCTTTGGTATGTGAGGGGTGTGTGTGGCAGAGAGAGAGTCTCCTGTTTCTCTCTTTGAAAGATTGAGGACATCTCATTTAAACTTCTTCCCCTGAATTACTTAACTTGGGAAGAGTTCTTTAAGAGGTCCAAGTGTACTTGAGGTCCTTCATTACCTACTAGCTGGCCTCTCTGCTTCTGAATCTCCCATCTCTAACCTGTCTTGAAGAGGGCTACCAAAAATCATGTTTCTGGGTGGGGCGGGGGGAGGGTATAGCTCAGTGGTGGAGTGTGTGCTTAGCGTACATGAGATCCTGGGTTCAATTCTCAGTACTTCCATTAGAGAAACTAAATAAACCTAATTACCTCCCCCCAGAATTTAAAAAAGAAAATAAAAAGGAACTTTCTAAAGGGAACAAACATTCTTGCCCCCCATCCCGCAGCAGTTTTAAGAAGAACTGGAGCAAACATTCTTAAAACATGAATTTCACCAAATCTCTTCTCTACCTCAAAGCTGTTGGTACAAAGCCCATTCCTTTTTGCTAAGTTAACTCTATGGCTTCCTAGATACTTAATCTTTGGCTGGGCTGTAACCTGTCCAGCTACAATTTCTCTTCCTCTATAGCATGTTTACTCTGGCAGTCAGCCCAGGATTCTGTATCCAGAAGCCTTGATGAGCATCTCCACTTCTGTGGCTTTGCTCTTTGATCTTTCCTTCTGGAATGAACTCTCTGTTCTCTTAATCACTGTCTTACTCATCCCTAAAGACCTCTTTCTTTGTGAAGCTTTTTATGTCCTTTAGCCTTAATTTCTTTTGACCCTGACATGGTGTAGTATATAATCAAATACCGGCTTGTGGTATTATCTTGTATGAGTTTTGTCTGGCCAGCTAGGTTGAAACATCCCTTGAGGCAAGGCCATTGAATGTTAGCAGTACACAACAGAAACATAGGTTGATTATTTCAAGACTAGGATCTTCTGTTCTAGTTGACCTGGGATGATGGAGACTCCATTTCCTTCTCTCCTCCTTTTTAGTTGGCAAAGTGGAAGACAGCTGAGGAAGTGGCTGCTCTGATTCGATCTCTGCCAGTGGAGGAGCAGCCCAAGCAGATCATTGTCACCAGGAAGGGCATGTTGGATCCATTGGAGGTGAGAGGTGATGGATGAGGTAGAAGAGAAGAGGGCTGATAACCTGCTGGCTGTTTCTAATCTTGGACTTGATCTTGTCTCAGGTGCACTTGTTAGACTTCCCCAATATTGTGATCAAAGGATCAGAGCTCCAGCTCCCCTTCCAGGCTTGTCTCAAGGTGGAAAAGTTTGGGGATCTCATCCTTAAAGCTACTGAGCCCCAGATGGTTCTCTTTAACCTCTACGATGACTGGCTCAAGACTATCTCCTCTTACACGGTATGAAGCCACCTCACAAAGACAGTCACTTTAAGAGGAGTGGGTTTGGGGTTACAAGAAGATCCTGTGCCTTAACTTTTCCCACTGGCTCCTTATGGGGCCATTTTCGGATCTTTAACCTGTGCATGGGCCAGTGATTCTTCTCTGAGTATCAGGTTGACTCGTAGTGAGGGCGGGGACAGGGGCAGGTACCTTAGAGTTTGAAATCAGTTCTTGGGGTCCCTTAAAAGGATAGGATCAAGAAAAGGGGCTGACCTTCCCCACGCTGCCACATCTCTCCCCAGGCTTTCTCCCGCCTCATCCTGATTCTGCGTGCCCTGCATGTGAACAATGACCGGGCAAAAGTGATCCTGAAGCCAGACAAGACCACGATCACAGAACCACACCACATCTGGCCCACTCTGACTGATGAGGAGTGGATCAAGGTGGAAGTGCAGCTCAAGGACCTTATCTTGGCCGACTACGGCAAGAAAAACAAGTGAGCAGTGGTGCTGAGGAGACAGATGGGAGATCCAACAAGGGTGAAATGGGTGGCTCACTGTACACCTTCTGGGTTTTTGGAAACATTTTAAACTCAGAAATTTCTCAAGAAATTTCCCTGGAAATGCCTATAGAAGAGAGTGCCTTCAGATGGTGTAGGAAGTGTCCATGTCTCAGGGCTCAGGCTGACTCTTGGGCGTTGTTCCTCTGCAGAGGCACTGTTACCATTTTGAGCAGGGCATTTCTTTACTGTCCACACATTATAGGAAGTTCTAACATCCCAGACCACCAGGTACCACTCATGACAGTACACACCTTCCTTCCCTCTTCTTCCGTCATTGTGACAACCGAAAATGTTCATAGATTTCCAGACACCCACTGAGGGTGGCTGACATACCAACTGTGATTGGGAACTTGTTTTAGGATTTTTTGATTTTGAGAGTTTTTTTGGTACCAGGATACTTCTTGAGGAGAAGTTGGAGGTATGAATGCTGAGCATTAGAGCATGGCTAAAAGTTGCACAGGGCCAGCCTTGGATGTGACAGATATTATCAGTATTAGTGTATTTCCACTTCACACTTCCTTTACAGGTATCACTTGAGGATTGTGTGGGGTAAGAACATGGCTCCCCTATCCCACCAAGTTACACTTTTGCTATTGGGGCATAGGTGACCAAGGGGGTGTGATCCTTGTGGTGTAACCAACCCATGGTGTCCCTACAGTGTGAATGTGGCGTCACTGACACAATCAGAAATTCGAGACATCATCCTGGGTATGGAGATCTCAGCACCGTCACAGCAGCGGCAGCAGATAGCTGAGATTGAGAAGCAGACCAAGGAACAGTCTCAGCTGACTGCAACGCAGACTCGTACTGTCAACAAGCATGGTGACGAGATCATCACCTCTACCACCAGCAACTATGAGACCCAGACTTTCTCATCTAAGACTGAATGGAGGGTCAGGTACTGTAAGGGACCAGAAGGGTAGGGATGGAAGGCCTACAGGTGCTCCCTGAGGTGCTCGAGTTGAAAGATGCCAGCATTCCCTACCTGTTTTTAGGGCCATCTCTGCTGCCAACTTGCACCTAAGGACCAATCACATCTATGTTTCATCTGATGACATCAAGGAGACTGGTTATACCTATATCCTTCCCAAGAATGTGCTTAAGAAGTTTATCTGCATATCTGACCTTCGGGCCCAAGTGAGTACATGTGTTCAGCTAGGCTACAGTGTATGCCCAGCATTTTAGGTCCCTAAAACTCAATTAAGATTTCCTGGAACCTGAAGTGCTGGTTTTGAGATTCCTGGATGAGTAAATATAAAAGGATAGCCAAAACAGTGAGGAGGGTTTCGCCCTCAACCAGATACCAAAACATTGTAGAGCTATGGCAGTTGAGAGAAGAATGTTATTATTGCCTTAGAAGTTACTGAAAGAGAATATCATATAATCCGAAACAGATACATGTGTGTATAATAAATGTGGTGTATGTAGCAAATCTGTAGGATTGTGTGCCTTATGATAACTAAAACAACAAAACGAGGCTTGATCTCTGCCTCATACCACTTACAAAAGTAAAATCCAGATGGACTAAAGATCTGAATACAAAATACTAAACTGGAGTATTAAAACATTTATTATGTTAGTGTTGGGATAACCTTCTTAAATAAGACACACATACATGAAAAAATAAGGCACAAAATATAAAAACATCATAATTTATAACTGGTGTGTGACAAAGGGTACCGCAAAAGACAAACTAAAAACGGGAAGAAAATATTTGCATAACTCTAAGATATAATAGGTTAGGATCTAGAATAGAGAATTCTAAGAAGTTAATTTTTTTGAGGATAACTGTAAAATGGGAAAGAATTGAAGGTAGTTCAGAAAAGGAACTGCAGGTGGGAAATATATGAAAAGATAGTCAACTTTACCAGTAATCAGGGAAATTCTTATTTTATAAAACACCAACTTTTGGCCTCAGCTTGGTGAATTTGAAAAGATGATTAATATCCTGTGTTGAATGAGTTTATAGGAACACACTTGGTTCATGACAATGTAAAATTTAAAGTACTGCCTAGTGCTGGTTTAAAAGATGTGTTCAGCTTGTGGATTAAATGGATGAGCTGTGTGCTTGTGTGCTCATTTGTTTATGGATACTGTACTTAAATAATCACCTGGGGAACAGTGTGACTACTGGACCCTACTCAAGAGATAATGTGATAATTCTGAGATGAAGTCCACGTTTAAGATTTTGAGTAAGTGCCACAGGTGTTTCTGATAACAGGAAATTCTGACCACATTTTGAGAAACTCTGTCCTTGTTCCTTTTCTTTTTTTTTTTTTGAGTAAAGGTAGATTTATTTAGAGAGATTCATACCCCAGGCTGTTTCAGAAGGCAAGAGAAAGGCCACAAGATGGGGTTGGGTGCTCAGTTTAAAGTAAAAGTAGATACACACTTCATAGACAGAGTACCTCTGTCTCACTCAGAAGGGAGAGTGGCATCTGTCCTTGTTCTTGATGAAGGGAATTAAACACAGGGCTGACAGCCCCAAGTTTGGGCTGGAATCTTTTTGGTTCTTGACCCCCTTGTCTCCAGATTGCAGGGTACCTGTATGGGGTGAGCCCACCAGATAACCCCCAGGTGAAGGAGATCCGCTGCATTGTGATGGTACCGCAGTGGGGTACTCACCAGACTGTGCACCTGCCTGGCCAGCTGCCCCAGCATGAGTACCTCAAGGTCAGTCAGGGTGTCAGAGAACCAGGGCTTTCTGCTCTCAGGGAGGTGGAGGGAAGGCAGGGATATTACTCTCATGGTTGGGATTCATGTCTGCAGACTGGGCTCTGAATGGCTTTTCACCACTCTACCTATAGGAGATGGAACCTTTAGGTTGGATCCACACTCAGCCCAACGAGTCCCCCCAGCTGTCACCCCAGGATGTCACCACCCATGCCAAGATCATGGCTGACAACCCATCTTGGGATGGCGAGAAGACCATTATCATCACCTGCAGGTAGGCTTGCGCCCCCTTGGGAGGAAGTATGGAGGAGTGGGTATTGTGGGCTAGGGCCCAGAGTGGTGGCCTGAATTCTGACCCTGCCCTTGTCCATCTTCCAGCTTCACACCAGGCTCCTGCACCCTGACAGCCTACAAGCTGACCCCCAGTGGCTATGAATGGGGCCGCCAGAACACAGACAAGGGCAACAATCCCAAGGGCTACCTACCCTCACACTACGAGAGGGTCCAGATGCTCCTGTCAGACCGCTTCCTCGGCTTCTTTATGGTTCCTGCTCAATCCTCGTGGAACTACAACTTTATGGGTATGTGGAGGGATGGGGGCACAAGAAAGTTGGGATGGGGCTAGGCCATCACCTGTAGCACTTGGGGCTGGACTTTGGTTTGGAGATGGCTCAGGGGCCCAGGCCAGGTGAGGCAGATGGACCTTGTCTCATAGGATATTTCCTTCTATTTCAAGGTGTCCGGCATGATCCCAACATGAAGTATGAGCTGCAACTGGCAAACCCCAAAGAGTTCTACCACGAGGTGCACCGACCCTCCCACTTCCTCAACTTTGCTCTCCTGCAGGAGGGCGAGGTCTACTCTGCCGACCGAGAGGATCTCTATGCGTAGTCGTCTCCTCACCTCCTTTCAGATTCCCCAAAGGCTGGAGCCTTTTACCCCCACAGACAAGCTGGTGACATTCAGCAGCTAGACCTCTTTTCCCTCTATTTTGTGCTTGTTATGTTGTTGACCTGTGATGTGTAATTCTGAACAAAGTATAATAAATTTTGTATAAATAGGAGTTTTTGAGTTGTTTTTTCCCTCTGAGCTCAAATTCTGGGTGTAGGAATGGTAGGAGGCCAGACTTGTCCACTGTAAGGTGCTGCACTCAGCCTTCAGGTGGCATGAGGCCCGCTATTCAGGAGCTGTGGGGCCAAATATCCTCTAGACTCAGAGGACTGAAGGTGACTTGAGCCTTCACACTCCTGCTGCTATGACCTCATTTGCCAGTTTCCCTCAAATACTTGCAAACCCTCGCCCATTTTCAACATCCCTTGGAACAGTGGCTGCTGTTTGGAGTGTAGAAGCTGTGGCTTGTTTCCTGCCACTGTGGTGCCCAGTTTAGCCCTTTAAGCTTTGTGTCGCTCTCTGTCAGTCTTGGAAACAGGCACACGGCTGGACAGTTGGCTGCCTCTGGCTGAGGCCAGTGACAGCGCTCCTACCTCTCACTTCTTGCCTAGAGAGTTTGGCAGCCAAGTCAGGCCGCATGACTTCAGACACAGGGGTGGAGCCTGGTTTGGGCACCGTGGGGAGGGCTTGACGAAAGTGACCACTTAACAGCCCTTGAGCCTCAGCTCCTGGACGCCTGGCTGGAAGTTGGCTGTCCTGCTTCCTGTGACCTTGGGTCTTGAAGAGGACAAGGCCCAGGGCACTGAGACGCCCCTTCCACAGGCCTTTTCCCGTAATCGCTCCTCCCTTGTCGCTTCTACCCCGCCCTCTACTGCCCTAAACTGCTTCCAGGGCGAAATTGTTTCGCTTTTTCCTGCCCTAACAGGGGTTAGGGGGAGGGTGTCGCAGCCCTAGTCGCCCACGGGGGACATGGAGCCCAGGAGGGCGGCGCCTGGGGCGCACGGATGGGGGCCTCGGGTGGCGGCAGGGTCGGGGACGGCGGCGGAGCTCGTGTACCATCTAGCGGGAGCTCTCGGCACTGAGTTGAAGGAGCTGGCGCGTCGCTTCGGGCCGGAGGCGGCGGCCGGACTCGTGCCGCTGGTGGTGCAAGCCCTGGAGCTCCTGGAAAAGGCGGCCGTGGGGCCCGCCCCGGACTCGGTGAGTCACGGCTCTCTTCCCTCGCCACTCGCGAGGCGACGGAGCCTAACCGTCAAAGCCCGGCCTCCCCAGCTGCAGGTGTCGGCGCAGCAGGCCGAACTGGAGCTGCGGCGGCTACGGGAGGAGAACGAGCGCCTCCGCAGAGAGTTGCGCTCTGGGCCACAGGGTGAGTGCCAGCCGGCCGGAGGTCAGGGCGCGGCGGCTCAGGGCCTCCCCCCGCGGACCGCCGCTAAGAACACCCCTTCCTCAGAGGAGCGTTCCTCAGAGGAGCGCGCTCTGCTGCGGCAGCTCAAGGAAGTGACCGACCGCCAGCGGGACGAACTCCGGGCGCACAACCGCGACCTGCTGCAGCGCAGCCAGGAGACGGAGGCGGTGAGGGCGGGCTGGGGCGGGGCGTCGTGTGGGGGCGGGGTTCTCCCGGCCCCTGGGTGCCCCGCCCACCAGCCCCACCTTTGCTCCGCCCACAGTTGCAGGAGCAGCTGCAGCGCCTCCTGCTGGTGAATGCGGAGTTGCGGCACAAGCTGGCCGCTGTGCAGGCCCAGCTGCGCGCCGCGCGGGACCGTGAGAGCCAGCGGGAGCTACAGGGCGAAGCCGCCAAGGAGTGTTCTCAAGAACGGGGGCGGGATAAGGATGAGGGCCCCAGGTGCGATCAGAGGCAGGAGCCCGAGCTGGCAGCCAACAGCGCAGGAGCCCCGGCGACCCCTGAGGACCCTGTGAGTGCCCTAAGATGTCAGGGACCCGTCTAGCACTCGGTGGGCCCTAAAAGGTTTGCTGTGCTGTGTAGTTGGGCCACCGGAAGCTGGAAGGTGGCACAAGAGTGCGCCTCCGGCCCCACTCTCGGCCAGAGCACCGGTCTGGCACCTGCCATTTATTGCAGTGCCCTGGCCTCCGAAGTCTCCCTGCCAGTCACTTTCTCTAGTGTCCCTATGATGGCCCCGGGGCGCGGCAGGGCCAGCGAGGCGCTCCCCGCTCCCAGCAAGCCTGTTCTTCTGCAGGCGGATACCCCACTGCAGCCAGAGCGCCCCTACAAGGTAGGGCAGTGCGGCTTTAGTCGAGAGGAAGTTGAGCAGATCCTTCAGGAGAGGAATGAGCTCAAAGCGAACGTGTTCCTGCTGAAGGAGGAGTTGGCCTACTTCCAGCGGTGAGGGCACAGGGTAGGGGCTGGGAGGGGCAGGGGACACCTGTTCCTAGGCCTCGGTTCACCTGCCTCGTTCTTCGGTCCACTGATGTATCCATGGTGTCGTGGGCCAGGCACTGTTCAGGACACTGGAGGACATGGATCACATAGCCCCTGCCCTCCTGGAGCTTCTTCCAAATGGGGGAGGGCCAATGCAAAGGGTCACAGCAGTTGCAGCGGCCATCAAGGAAGCATGCCTAGGAGGGGTGACACCTAAGCTAAGGTCTGAGGGGGTTAGCGAGGCAGAATGTTTCCAAAAGGGGGAAAAACATGCACACGTACTTGGGACGAGACCTACTCTTGGCATCTCCACCACTTTTTTCTCTGCCCCTCCTCCTCTGTAGGGAACTGCTCACAGACCACCGGGTCCCTGAGCTCCTACTGGAAGCTATGAAGGTGGCTGTCAGGAAGCAGCGGAAGAAGATCAAGGCCAAGATGTTAGGGACCCCAGAGGAAGCAGAGAGCAGGTAAGGCCCTGCCTCCATTTCCACTGAACCAGCTGTCTCTCCTGCTGACCCAGCCTGGTCATCTTCCGAGTCTGTTGTCACCCCAATCCAGCAACCCCTAAAGCCTTTCACTTTGCCTAGTCACTTCTGAAACCTGCTAATCTGGCCTGGTCACCCCCCTGAGCCCACCACACTTCTCTCTGGGTTGTGCTGCTCCCACCTGCCATGCTGTACATCTACAGAAGAAACCTGCTAACTCTGCTTCTTGGTTCTTCAGTTTTCTGTTTCTCGTCTTGGCTGTGTCTGTTTTCAAAGGGGTAAGGCTGTGGCTGTAGCCTTGTCAGGGGCCTGCTGTGTGTCAGGCTAGAAAAGAAAAGCTTCAAGATGTCCTACATCTCCCCAGCTTCTCCTCTCTAGACTTCGGGACTCTGAAGTCACTCTGTCCTCTCCCGCCTGTTCTGGGGGCCACACGGAAAGCTGAACATAGGTGGACTTCCATTGTCCCTCGGGGCCTTGATAAACGGCCCTCACATCTCCTCTCTCCTCTGCCTCAGTGACGATGAGGATGGCTCATGGCTGCTGCTCTCCAGCGATAAGGGAGACCACCCCCAACTGCCACCTCCTGAGTCCAGAATTCAGAGTTTGTATGTTAGGGGAAGAGGAAGGACAAATGTGGTGGAGGTGAAGGAGGGGCCCCCTTTCCCGCTCGAGCTCTGAGCACACCCGTTCCCTCCTGCTCCTCTGGTGGCCCCCTCACCTCTCCCTGCCTCATGCTGCTCTTTCTTCCTCCTGCGTTCCCTTTTTACAGCACCCCCTGCCTTCAGCCCCTATCCTCGACCTCTCTGGCATCCAGCCTCAAAGCACCTCTTGGCTTTCCCCCAGCTTTGGCCTGTGGTATCGGGGTGAAGCAGAGGCCCCTGAAGCAGAGACCAGCAGCGTGGCTCCCAGCAAGCTACAGGGAGAAGAGGAGGCCTCACAGCCACCCCACTTGGAGCCTGTGGGCAGCCTAACAGACCTCAACGCCTGATAGGCCCTGTCCTACTCTGGTCTGGGGTCTCAGCTGCCGCAGAGGACTGACTTTGGGGTCTATCTGTGGGTGGATGTGTGACCTCAAATGAGGACAGGGTTCCCTCCTTCCCAGCCTCTCCAGGCTCTTTTCTAATCCTGGTCTGAGCTGGGGTGTGATGGGGAGCTCAACCTACCTTCCTTCCTGTGTCTCTGTGCCAATCCTCCAGGGCCAGAGAAGAGTGTTTCCTCTCTGAGTCTCAGTTTCCCCATCCACGAAATGGAGAACTGACTACCTACCTCCCATGGGATTGTGGGGGTGGCCTAAGCTAATGGAATAAAGCAACTGCCCATGGTACCCAGAAACTGCTCCACGCCTGTCTGTCAGTGCTCTGCCCCTGCCCAGCTCTGCCAGGAGGATCCTCATGGTTGTCATTGAGTGGAGAGGCTTCTCCCAGTTCCTTTGGGGAGTGTGACATAATAGAAATCTGTAGCTCCTCCCCTCACTGCCCCCACCCCATTCCCCAGGACCCGGAGCTTACAGCCTCCTCATGCTGCCTCCTCCAGACTGAGACTTGCTCCTAAAGCCCTCGCTCAGATCTTGCCCTTGGCCTGCTTCTCCCTTTTAGTTCTCTAGTGTCTGGTCTTCTCAGCGCCTGCCCACCCTCTCAGGGAGGTGCCTCATGGCAGCCCGCCCCTCCGGCCTGGTTTCCTCAGGAAAAGCCTTGAGAGGAAGCAGGGAGGGGGTTGGGAGCTGTAGGGGCCAGACTAACCCAAGCCTTCCTGCTATACTGGCCGCCATGGGGATCGGGCTGCTGTTCCCTCTACTGCTGCTCTGGACTCGGGGGACCCAGGGGTCTGAGCTGGACCCCAGTGGGCAGCACGTCTGCATGGCTGGCAGGTAGGTCTTGTGGGGGGGGGTCTGATGGGGAGGTGGCTGAACTGGTGTTGGGGCATTGGGAGGAAAGAGTAGTGAGGACAGAGGTCATGGGGCTAAAGCAAGAGGGCTTGGGGACAGCCTGGAGGACAGATGGTTGGAAGGCCTGGGACAGAAAGGGAAGGGGTTGGGGACACTCGGCCTGTGACTCTTGGCCAGACCTGCCTGATGGGGCTGAGGCAGCCTCCCACATCTCAGCCAGAGACAGTGATCCACTGCGGAGCCAGGCTGTCCCCCGGCTGACCCCTCTCTGCCCCACAGCCCCTCTGTTGAGCTCCAGTGCTGCCCAGGGTGGAGGCAGAAAGATCGCGAATGCACCATCCGTGAGTAGCCAGGACGGAACCCCCCCAATCCGAGAAGTAAAGTGAACATAACCTAGTGACCCTTCCTTCCTACCTCCTCGGGTCTGTTTGCCCTTCTGAGCCCTAGAACTAGGGTCCATCCTGTGACACACACATCCCCAGCCCCGAGGAAACAGCTCTCAAGGGGGGCAGGGCACCAGGAGCCAGTGAGAGGGGCAGAGTGTCCCTGGTCACACCCCAGTCCTTCCAACCTGGGTGGGGTGTTTTTCAGCCATTTGCGAGGGGCCGGACGCCTGTCGGGAAGACGAGGTATGTGTGAAACCAGGCCTCTGTCGATGCAAACCTGGATTCTTCGGGGCCCAGTGCAACTCTCGTGAGTCCTGAGTCTCTCCTGAGGGGTCAAGTTGCTGGGCAGGACTTGGGGAGCAGGGTGATGAAGCAGGTAGGAATGTCATCTTAGAACAGCAGGGCCAGAGTCCCTCCAAGCTTCACTGAGGAAATTGAGTTCTAGAGACAGGAAGTGATGCACTCCTGGGAGATGCCCTGAGTCATCTGGTTTTTACCTGTATCCACAAAGCCATCCTACAGTTTTAGTTCTGGTCCATTCATCTTCCCATTTAATTCTGTGGTAAAGATGCTGGGGATCCCCATTAACTGCAGAATGGTTGCATTCTCAGTCTCCCCCACGTACACCTTATGTCTGTGTGGAGGGTGGCTGGACTGCCTGCCCCCTCTGGCAGAAAAAGGGACATGGGAAAGGGGTTGGTTGGCAGAGAGACGGAGAGTCAGGGCTGAGAGGAGACACTGCAGAGAATGTGGCTTCCTCTGAGACCCTGATGGGCAGCATCCAGGCCGGGACAGACATAGAGGTGAAACCCAGTGAGAGGGAGGAGGGGCATGAATGAAGGCCCACCCACTTCTGGGTGACTCTGAGCAAGGCGCTTTTCCACTCATGATCTTTAAGTGTGTTCTGAAATGTGGAAGTGGAAGGCTGGGCTACTGCCCCGGAGTCTGGGGCAGGAAGTATGCTGTGCCCCAGAACAGGCTGACCTTAGTTCTTGGAGGGCGGGCCTGGTGCCCCCTCGTCCTCGTGGAAGGGGGTCGTGGCTCGGGAACTG